GAAGTGATAAGCTTTAGAGAATTTATATTGGGTGACTCAATCTAGACAGAGCCTTTCTTTATTTTGTTTTTATGGCAGGCACTCTACCACTTTAGTCACATCTTCAGCCTTTTTGCTCTGGTTATTTTTGAGATTGGGTTTTGCTTATTTCTCAGGCAGTCTTGGCCTGTGGCTCTCCTATTTGTGCTTTCCACTGTAGCAAGGATAACAAATTGTGAACTCTTAGGCCAAGCTTTTTCTGTTGAGATGAGATCTAGTACACTTTCTTTTTGCCAAGGCTGGCCTGAGGCCACAATCCTCTCCATCTCAGCTTTTCATGTAGCTAGGATACCAGATACATACTATGGCCTAGCTGTAGCTTAACATGGGGTTTTGGGAACACTTTGTCCAAATTGTCTTCAAATTGCTATCCTCCTGGATGTCTTCCAATTAACTAGGATTACAAGCACAAGCCACTAACACACAACCTAGACAGAGTTTTGAACATGCAAAGTTACAACTGGAAAGGAAATAAGGGTTTCAAGCTCAGGACAAACTTGTTTATCTTCTGTGCTACAACCAAGTGTGGTTGTTTTTCTGCACTGTGCCATATTCCCATGTTCAAAGGTGTGTTCCAATTACTTCCACGAGTTGAATTTCTGGTTGTGATTTTTATCATAAGAACTTAGAGGGGGCTAGGAAGGTGGCTCAGTGGAGTGCTTGCCTTGCATGAGGCCCTGGTTCGATTCTTCACCACCACATAAGCAGAAAAAGCTGGAAGTGGTGTTGTGGCTCAAGTGGTAGAGTGCTAGCCTTGAGCTGAAGAGCTGAGGGACAGTGCCCAGGCCCAGAGTTCAGGCCCCACAACCGACAAAAAAAAAATTAATAAAAACAATACTAAGAGCCAAGGATTTATGTTTTCCAGTATGTGACAAACTAGATTCAGGCCAAATTCCTTCTGAAAACAAAATACTGAACAATAACAACAAAATTAAATTTTTTTGAAAGAGGAGACTTACAAAACAGTAAGAGACTGACAAGTGAAAAAGTCAAGGTAATTGGAACCAAAGAAAAATAAAAGGTGCTGGAGCTTCTTCTCCCTCAGGGGTGTTTACTGACTCTAGTAAATGAAGGCTTCATGGGATTAGGTAAAAGAAGTTTAAATGCCAGAATCCACTGTAGGTGGTAAATTAACCAGGAGACCTTCCCCAGATTAAGGAGGAAGCCAAGGGTTACATTTCCTGGCAAAATTAAACCAAGTCTTCAGCCTCCTTCTCCACCATCAACACACACACAAATGTACACTCCTCAGGAGACTATATGGAAGGTTGTCATAACTCTAAATAAATGGAAGGGGGAAGGAAAGAAGGCAGAGAAAGTCCCTAACAGATGTGGTCACCATAGGCTAATCCTTGTGCAAATCACATTAATCACAGGCTTCAAATAATCACAAGAAGTAGGACTACGATATGACTCAAGTAGCGCTTACCTTAGCAAGTAAGAGACCCTAATTTAAAAAATAATCCCTAATTTAAAAAAAATTATAAAGAGCTGAGCACATGGCTCATCCTGTAACCCTAGCTACTCAAGATGCTAAAATCTGAAGGATTACGGTTCAAGATCAGCTCAAGCAGAAAAGTTCACTATACTTCATTCCAAAAACAATGAACAAAAATCAGAGGTGAAGCCAGGTACTGGTGGCTCATGCCTGTAATCCTAGCTATCCTATACTCTGAGGAGTATAGTTCAAAGCCATCCCTGGTAGAAAAGTTTGTAAGACTCTAAATCTCCAATTAATCACCAAAAAAACCAGAAGTGGAGCTGTGGCTCAAGTGTAGACTTGAGCAAAAAAGCTGAGGGACAGCACCCTGGACCTTACTTCAAGCACCAGGAATGGCACAAGAAGACAGAGTTGGAGGCATAGCTCATTTAGTAGAGCACCAACAGAGCAAGAATAGGGCCTTGAGTTCAAGGCCCACAGAAAAACATCATAAAAATAAATTTCAAGCCAGGAAATGATGGCTCACATCTACTCAGGAGGCTGTGACCTGAGGATGAAGGTTTGAAGCTAGCTCAGACAGAAAAGTCCAGGAGACTCCAATTAACCAGCAAAAAGCCAGGAGTGGCTTATGTGCTAGCCTTGAGTGAAAAAGCCAAGGGACAATACACAAGCCTTGAGTTAAAGCCTGAAAACTTGCAATACATACATACATACTACATAAATTCAAATACGTTGAGTAATCCACAGTAAGAAATGTGACAAAATAAATGCAAAATCAAGGCATCATAAATAAAAATCAAAAGAAAATCAGATAAAAATATTTGGAATACTGAGATTATTCAAAGAAAAAAATCAAATTTCTTTTTTTTTAATGTCACACTATATATCATCTTGATTTTTTTTTAATTGTGAAAATACCATACAGTAGGGTTACAATTACATGGGCAAGGTAATGAGTGCATTTCTTATCAAGCATTGTTGCCTCCTCCTTTGTTTACCCTTCCCATCCCTTCCCATCTCCCCCACCCCGTCAACACCTCCTACTCCCCCCACCCACACACCAAAGATGTATAGTTCATTTTTGACACAAGATCTTGTACATATCATTGGCGCAATGGGTCCACCTGTATCCCTATTTAAACAATTCGTTTTTTTCCCTTCCCCTCCACAAATTATACCAATATCAAATACAGTGAAAACAGGGGTTATACCTTGGGGGAGGGACATACAAAGCAACAAAGAAATATCCTATAAAGATGTTAGACATAATAGCAAGAAAGAAAAAAACATTTGAGTCCTTAACTTGGGGTTCATTTCGCTTAACATCAACTTATCTGACCATTTCTGCTTGTCTCAGACATATACTAGTCATTGCAAATAAGGGAAACCAGGGGACCTATTTTTCTTTGAGCCTGGCTTACTTCATTTAATATAATTTTTTTCAAGTCTTTCCATTTCCTAAAAAATAGGGCAATGTCATTCTTTCTGATGGAGGCATAGAATTCCATTGTGTATATATACCACCTTTTTTGATCCATTCATCTACTGAGGGGCATCTGGGTTGGTTCCATATCTTAGCTATGTTAAATAATGCTACAATAAACATAGTTGTGCTGGGAGCTTTAGTATGGTCTTGTTTTTGATCATTCAGGTAAATGCCCAAAAGTGGGATTGCTAGGTCATAAGGGAGCTCTATGTGGGATCTTTTGAGGAACCTCCATACTACTTTCCAAAGTGGTTGAACAAGTTTACACTCCCACCAACAATGCAATAAGGTTTCCTTCTGTCCACATCCCCTCCAGCATCTGTTGTTATTAAAGTTCTTGATAATAGCCATTCTAACTGGGGTGAGGTGTATCACAATGTTTTTTGATTTGCATTTCTTTTATGGCTAGAGAGGTTGAGCATTTCTTCATGTGTCTATTGGCCATCCTTCTTTCCTCTTCAGAGAAGTTTCTCTGTAAGTCTTTAGCCCACTTATTTATTGGGCAGTTGTTTCTTTGAGGATTTGTTTTTGGGGGATGTAATTTTTTGAGTTCCAGGTATATTTTAGATATGAAACCCTTGTCTATTGTATGGCTAGTGAAGATCTTCTCCCAATCCGTGGGCTTTCTATTGAATTTGCTATGTCCTTTGCCATGCAGAAGCTCTGCAATTTCATGCAATCCCATTTGTCCAAACTTTCTTTGATCTGTTGTGTTTCTGAGTCCTCTATTTAGAAAATTTTGGCCTGTGCCAAGGAGACCTAGGGTTTCTCCTATTCTGTCCTGCAATATTTTCAGGGTGAACATAGGTCCCATGGTTTCCCTTATTTGCAATAACTAGTATATGTCTGAAACAGTCAGATAAGTTGATGTTAGGTGAAATGAACCCCAAGATAAGGACTCAAATGGTTTTTTTTTTTTTCTTGCTATTGTTTCTAACATATTTATAAGATGATTTTTTGTTGCTTTGTATGTCACTCCTCCATGGTATAACCCCTGTTTTCCCTGTATTTGATGTTGGTATAATTTGTGGAGGGGAAGGGAAAAAAAAACAAATCATTTAAATAGGGATATAGGTGGACCCATTGCAACAATGAGATGTACAAGTCGTTATGTCGAAAAACGAACTTTACAACTTTGGCAAGGAGGTGAGTGTGGGAGGGGGTGGCAGGGGCGGGCAAGGGGGGGAGATGGGAAGGGATGGGAAGGGGAAACAAAGGAGGAGGCAACAATGCTTGATAGGAAATGTACTCATTATCTTGCTCATGTAATTTTAACCCCTCTGTACAGTATTTTCACAATAAAAATACAAAACAAAACATTAAATTAAAAAAATAAAAAGATGTCATAACCTACACAGTATTTTGTTTAAAGCTCTGTGTGTGTGTGTGTGTGTGTGTGTGTGTGTGTGTGTGTGTGTGTGTGTGTGTGTGTGTGTGTGTGTGTGTCCTGGTATTAGTTTTTTTGTACTTATAGCTGGCTCTCTACCATTTGAGTCAGCTCTGCTTTGTTACTGGTTACTTTGAAAACATATTGTCTCCTTTGCTGGTAGTATGTTGCCACTGATTAAAATATTTTTGCACTGGGGGTATAACTGTGGTGGAGCACCTGCCTACCATGTATTAGGCATTAGGTTTGATCCCCAACATGGGCCCTCCCTGAATTAAGAAATTAATTCTGGCAGTACTTTGCCTTTAACCAACAGTTCTAGTTTTTGATGAAAAAAAGTCACCTCTCTGTAGTTAAAAACATTAATATTGGGGTATCTGAGCTGAAGAGCTAAGGGACAGCACTCAGGCCCAGAGTTCAAGCCCCACAATTGACAAAAAAAAGTTTAATTTACTCTCCTTTAAGCACTGAATTGCTCACTATGTGCACTTGGTCTACAGGTTCTCCACTGCTCCACTGCTACCGAAGGTAATGCTCAATGAAATTTATTATGTTTGAAGTATTACAAAAAGCAGCTTGCTTTTTTAATGTATGCAACATAGGGCATTTTCAAGAAGAAATTTTATTCCTTGATGTAAAAAGGAACTGTTACATAAGTTTGGAAACTCTGCACCCGTGTGAGTATATATATTACTACTTTTATTTATGTGGTACTGAGGAATTGAATTCAGGGCTTCATGCATGCTAGGCTCCCAGTCCTCCATATATATACTTTTAGCAATAAAGCAGCATGGATTGAGGGTGCATTGATAAATAAATAAATAACCAAATATGTCATAATGAAACTACAACACACCAAAGAAAATACAAGTATCTCAAAGTAGCCATGAGGACAAAAGGCAGCAGATCATCTCAATTATTTAAGTGCAGGCACAATTGCTTAAGTGCATCAATAGGAGATAAAACCAAAAGAGCAATAATTCCCATGTTCAGAAATAACTGACAATCTGTAATTATGTGCCCAGGAAAAGTATGGTTCAAAAATGAAAATATTCTAAATCCTTCAATTATGACACAGGGTATGTCAGACTTGTTCCTTTAAAAAATGATATGGTCTATCCATAAGATAATCTTGAAGAAAATAATAGAAAGAGAGATACTATACAATTTTGGAAAATAAGGAAGCAATTGCTATATGAATATAGCTATTATTGTAGGCAAGTCAGATATTGATACATTAATATAGATATTATAATGATTTTGCCTAAGATTCTTAAGCAAAAAGAATTACCAAAGCTTGTCATTTCCTATGGGTAAAAGTGAATTTCACATACTGCAATGCTATTTAAATTTGCAAGTAATTAATAGCAAAGCCTCAAAAAAAAAAATCAACAGACACTAAAGGATAAAAAGATAAATGTACAACCACAGCAGGTTTTTTGCTGTTGTCATTAGAAAAGTTATCTTCAACATTATCCAGAAAAATTTTCATATAATACAAAATATCTCCATATCCTTCAAAAGTTCTCAGTTTATATTTTCCATGCTTTTCTTTATTCCTCATTAATCTGTTTTTTTGTCCAACTATGGATAGTTTGAATTTTCCAGAAGTTTATATAAAAGAATCTTAAACAACATGTACAGGTTGTATCTAGCTTCTTTCACTCAGCATGATTTTGGGATGTCATCTATGTTGTGTATATAAGTAGACTTTTCTTATATATTGATGAAAAGTAGATTCCTTTTTATACTTTTACCACTATTTGTTTATTCATTCACCTGTTGATAAGCACTTGTGTTATTTCCAAGTTTTTTTTCACTATGAATAAAGTTGTCAACATTCATGAATAAGGCTTTGTAGAAGTGTTTCTTTCCTTATCAGAGAAGATGAATGAGTAGAATGCCTAGATCATGTGGTCTAATTATCTTAGGAAATAGACTAATATTTTTTAAAGCTACTATTGTCATTTTAAATTCTTTCTTTTACTATATTTTATTTAAGGGGTTTGGTTGTTCTAATTCCATAGATATGTACTGTGTACTTTGATCAAGTTAACCTGCTTATTCCTTTAACTTCTCTACCTTCTCCCCAATACTTTAAAACAGTATCTTGTGTGTGTGTGTGTGTGTGTGTGTGTGTGTGTGTGTGTGTACCCTACTTAGTTAACATTTTTATAAGCCATATATGAGAGTTCCATTTGCCTTCTGGCCTTACCAATTTTTCTAATTTTACCTATGGTAACAAATACACAAAGGTATTTATGAATGACTTAAGCCATGCTCAGGTTGCTCAGACCTCTAATCTTAACTACTCAGGAAGCTAAGATCTGAGGATTGCAGTTCAAAGCCCAGGCAGGAAAGCCCACAAGATTCTTATCACCAATAAACTACTCAGAAAAAGGCAAAACATGACTATGGCTCAAGTGATAAAGTGCTAGCCTTGAGCAAAAAGGAGCTAAGGGACAGAACCTAGGCCCAGAGTTCAAACCCAAGACCCAGGACCAGAAAAAAAAAAAGAATGACTTACCTGACAGGTATACTAGGTACAAATGTGTTGTCAGATTGTTTTCTAAAAATGCTTTACTATTCTGTGCAATGCCTTTTCTCAAGGAGAACAAATGAAAGGCGTTTTATTGGGGAGGGTAGTATTTTTTTTATAAAGTCCTGTTCCCAACTTTTTATTTAATTTCCATGAATGCATTTCCTGTCAAAGAAATCCTTGCTTATCTAAGGGCATAAACATTTTTCTGCTATGTTGCTATCTCAAATTCTCATAGACTTACATTTTACCCTCAGGTCTCTTGATCATTTGGAGTGAATTTTGTGCACAGCATGAGGAGAAGGTCAATGGTTTCTTTCTCTTTATTTAAAATTGTTCCAACTGTAGCTGTTGAAAAGACTTTCATCTCTCCAACTATTCATCAAGAATAGAACAACAAGAGGAAGTTATATATTCATCCAACAATATAGTATACCCAATGACAATGAATAAGTTATCCCCATACCCAGCTGTATGGATTAGCCTCACAAATATCTTTGATGAGTTTAATTAGCACACACACACACACACACACACACACACACACACACACACACACACACTAACAATTAAAAGCTTTCCCTGTATGCTTAAAAAATAAACAAATGAAAGTGGACAATGTCACTTAACCTCTCTGAATCTCTTCAGTTGTGAACTGAGAAGATTTGATGTTAGTCATAGCACTTTGCAAGTCATTTGATACTATACCCCAAACAGATATTATTAGTACTATTGCAGCACAGTGAGCAAAATTACTTGAACAAAAAGAATGACTTAAACCAGGCTTAGGTGACTCATACCTGTAATCTTAGCTACTCAGGAAGCTAAGACCTGAGGGTTGCAGTTCAAAACCAGCCCCGGCAGGAAAGTTCATGAGACTCATCACCAATAAACTACTCAGAAAAAGGCAAAATAAGGGGAAACAAAGGAGGTGGCAACAATGCTTGATAAGAAATGTACTCACTATCTTGCCCTTGTAATTGTAACCCCTCTTTATGGTATTTTCACAGTAAAAAGAAAGAAAAAGGCAAAATGTGGCACTATGGTTCAAGGGGTAAAGAGTTATCCTTGAGCAAAAAGGTACTCAGGGACAGAACCCAGGCCCAGAGTTCGAGTCCAAGACCCAGGACCAGCAAATATATATATACATATATATGTATATTTGTAAACAAATATATCTGTACCTCCTTTTCTCCTGGGGCCTTTTCCAAAGGAAACTATATAGCTGTCTAAATCTATTTCAATAAAGAACCTATTACAGAATGCGCAACCAGCTAAAACCTCCAGTAGCCACGTTGAATTATCTACCACAACATTCAGAGGTGACTCTCCAGAACTACCTCTACCAATGACCAAGCATGTTAGGAGTCCTAGAGTTGAGCAGAAATGGCTAACTCTAGCACTACTATAATGTGCATCATTGTTCTAAGATTCCATCTCTGCCTGGCCATGAGAAGGCTCTGAGCTGTGCTACACTCAGAATGTTTATCTAGTCCTCCTTTATTTGTTCCTCTCCTTCTACTGGTCAGGTTAGAATCACCATTTTAAGGCTCTGTTTGAAGGTGCTCCCATCTCTCCACCTTTCAGGGAGATTTCCTCCCTAATAAATCTCTGACATTTCTAACTCTGTCCTATGTCTGCTTAGCACCTCCGGGGTCCAGCACTAACAAATACACAGAATGATGCTTTTCATTGGTAAGAAATCTACGTAAACTTTTTAAATGTAAAAAAATAAGAAATTATATAAAATGTTTGCAATCACTGAAACTTTGGACTTATAACCAACAACCTTACACAGACAGGCAAACTGGCTTCAGATTTATATTTGATTCCACTGGCTCGTGTAAATACAGCCATCCAGAGAAATTAACATTTTCATCCAAAACAATCTTTGTATACAACAATGGAATCTTTGAAGTGCTGTTACTTTGCAGACTAAGCAACAGTAACCTAGATTTCCTTTCCTTCCTTTACTCATTTATACACTGAATCCAGATTAATGGGAGATCTGAAGAGTCCTGATTTACTATAGTCTCTTGGGGTAATGTCACTTAAATAACTGCTTCGTGTTAACCTGGAAATGTTATAAATCTGCAGAAAGTCAGCTGGTGAGGAGAATCTAAAGATTATAATAAGCAGGCTATGTTTAAAATAAAAAGCCTTCACATCCATATTTTACATTTGTGTTCCAAATATTTACCAAGTCAGCAGCCAAGTGAAAATTATTTTTGCACAAACTGTGAATTTCAAATTTCAAGAAAGAAGAAAAATGCATTTAAGTTTATTTCACTTGGAAACAGGTTTTTGGCAGAATTTATCTTCTTATTCCTTTTAAAGGAAACAATAGGCAAAATAATTTTGCAAAGGTTGATTTTGAATCACTTGGTTATTTTCCTAAAATTACTCATGGTGTTCTTAGATATGATACTGGTTACATTAGAAATTAGTCAATCCAAATTCAAACCTACATTTAATTTTATTTGGAGACCAAATATCCTCATTAAGAGGTCAGTCTATGAAACATATCATTTTGACCTTGTATAAGGAAAGCATACCCGGGTGACTGCAATACCAGTTTCATGTCATTTTTGGGGTCACAGGTGGGTGAGATAAAGCCTACATTTAGGACTTAAGCTTGGACATGGAGTAAGGACACTATCACTGTTTGAGTGATGCAGATCACATTGTCACACCTAGACAACATCTCATTGACTCTGCTACTAATCTTCCCTCCTAACATTTATTTCCTTGATCAATTATGTCTCCGTTCTTCAGACCAATTTCCCTCATTTCTGGATTATATGCCTTCTTTTTGATCCATATATCAAATACATGTTTGAACCTTTATCTATTTCCTGGTCTTTTATTTTGTCTTCATAGCTGCATGAAATTTCTTTTCTATCTCCATTTCAGCTTCTCAAATGCCCCACTGGATCTTCTGTCTGGGTCTTCTTCATACTCAGTCTGAAACACATCTCCTAGCCACTGCCTCACCTTCCAGCCATGCCCATAAATCTTAATCATTTATTGTTTCAAGAACATTGCATCCTAAATGAGTCCAATCACAGGTACCCTTAACAGAACTAACAGTATTTGAGACTTCAGAAATAGAAATAGATAGGTTTTACTTTGACTCTTTCCTAGGAGCTTAAATATTCAAATATCTCTTCTTGTTGAGCTTACTCTTTAAAGTAAATTGCATATTTCCTAGGCCAGCAAAACCTAGAAAGCCTCTCTTCATCCTGGAATATGTTTCCATAGCAGCAG